CATTTTAAAGCATTCAAGTGCAAGAAGACGTGAAAGTACTTAATTCAGTACTAGCATACTGTGTTCTGTGTGCATACAGATAGCCACGTCTCACAGCCTGCGACCACAGAATCTCTTTTGTGTCTTACATCATATGACCCTTGAACGAACAAATACATTAAAAAAGTTGTCAAAATCCCCGTCTTGGTGAGTATCCTCGAAAACTGTTGGTTATGTCATATGTGAACATAAACAGTTGATAAAGATGTGTTTCATTATATTGGATCCATGCACTCTGTCTTAAAGTGACTGTGCCTAATTTACTTGCTCCTGTCCAAGAAAAAAGAGAGAAAGAAAATCACTCACTACTCTTGAATAACTTGAATTTTATAGCTGTAACAAGGATTAATCTATATTTAATTTATACAGTGAACACTATGAAATGCTGTTTTACATTCATTGATAAAGTTTCTGTACTTGAACGCCACCAAACCTGAAAAAAGCATTATTTAATTTGTATCTTTGTTCATTTTATATATTTGTGCTAGCCTATTTACACTATTTCAAACAGGACCCACAGGTACAACCTGCTGAACCTGCACCCCGAATACCTCAGCTACGGCCCTGCATGTTGTGCATTCAAGTCGAAAACATAACAGTTGTAGCCTAAAAAAAAGATATCTACTGTACTGCAGAGTTCAGCTCCAACCCCATAAGCACACCTGAACCATTTAATCAAGGACTTCAGGCTTATTTCAAAATAATTTACAGGTGTGATGAAGCAGGAAGTCTGCAGGAAGAGTTCTATAGACCCCCTGGTCTATATTATAGATAAGTGTCCCTGCCATGGTCACACTGACATGCTCCTCCTAACAACACAACTCGTGTATCATCTGGATCCCCCACTACAAGCATTAAAATCTGTCTAAATCTCCTATGACAACTTGCAGTGTTATCATCGAGGCTGAGAAAAGAACTCAACTCTGCAGACAACAGGTAAATGCCATTATCGCTGTTTTCCATGTTCGTGGAGTAAATATTTTTACATGGCTTTTTAAAAATGCCGGGTAGCCGGTGTTTCGTATAATTTTGGCCAATCAGCGTACACTTACGTCACTGGTAGTTCCTATAGAACTGTTTTAGACCCAACTCTGAAGTAGGAGCTAATTTAGTTCCCCCAAATGGAGTTCATAGAATTAAATACGTTCCTAGTTCCTGCGGTGCGAACACGCCAAAAACTGGGAACTTCCACCAATAGTTCTAGGAACTATGAAAAGGTTCCTCTGGTGCGAAAGCCCCTATTGTAGTAGCAAGTTTAGGGGTTCTCAACTCTGGCCCTCGATGTCCACTTTCCTGAAGAGTTTAGTTCCAACCTTGATCAAACTCACCTAGTTCTAGGAACTATGAAAAGGTTCCTCTGGTGCGAAAGCCCCTATTGTAGTAGCAAGTTTAGGGGTTCTCAACTCTGGCCCTCGATGTCCACTTTCCTGAAGAGTTTAGTTCCAACCTTGATCAAACTCACCTACCAGTAACTTTCTAGTAATCCTGAAGACCTTGATTAGCTTAAGGTGTGTTTGATTAGGGTTGGAGCTAATGTGACCTTTAAGTAGAGTTGGAAATAACAATTATGAGTTCCAAGCAATTAAATACACCTGAATCAGGCATTCAAGGTCTTCAGGACTTCTACTAGAACCTTTCAGGCAGGTGTGTTTGAGCAGGTTGGAGCTAAACTCTGCAGAATGTTGGCCCTCAGGTGCAGAATTGGACACCACTGATATACTGTATATATATACAGTGTTGCCATTGTTTTGTCCATTTCTTCTGTCCCTGATGTGAGCTCCCACGGAGAAAATGGACAAGGTCCTTGTAGTTTGAGGTCCCTGATGTCTCCACTCAGATCAGAGTTGGAGCTTTAGATCGTCTTCAATCCAACATCTTTGCAGCTTTTTAATGAAGTTTCGTAATACCACAACCATCTGTCTGGCAACGGCAGGTGCAAAAGCTACTGAATCTATAGGTATCTTTTGATACCATGCCAATCATTATCAAGGGACAGACAAGTCTGCTTGTGTTCTAATGTTTGGCCAAGAGCAAGGATTAGAATCAACGCTTCAATCAACAAAAATTTATTTTTTCATTTTTGTGCAGAATGTAATAGAAATGGTAACAGAATCCTTTTCATTTAATTTCATGAAAACTTTTCTACTTCCCGTGGCCAAGAGCAAGGATTAGAATCAACGCTTCAATCAACAAAAATTTATTTTCATTTTTGTGCAGAATGTAATAGAAATGGTAACAGAATCCTTTTCATTTAATTTCATGAAAACTTTTCTACTTCCCATTGCCTGAATCTTTTTAAAGATGTCAAGTCAAGTCACCTTTATTTATATAGTGCTTTTTACAATACAGATTGTGTCAAAGCAGCCTTACAGTATTAAACCGGAAAATAGAGTGCCGATTCTGCAAGAGGACAATAGGAAACACTCAATTTTCCAGTTAAAGTCAGTTCATCATCGATTCATATGTACAGCATAATCAAATAATCAAAAGCCTAATAACCATCAGACTTCAAAATAATCTTCAAACTGTTTTGAACTGTGCAGCTAACATTCAGATTTGTCTTGACAAAGTTTCAGTTTCTATTTGTTTTGATTTTGTAATTTAATAGTCGAACACCAGCTTTGCTATAGACTATGCCAACCAGTAAAATTTGTTTTATATTGAATATATTGTTTTCATGTACCTTGAATCATACAGGACATCTAGTGCTAAAACTTGACTCTCTTTCCATTCACCATCCATTGTGCTTTCAAAGAAACATTTGATCAGTGATACTGGACCAGACCTGCATTTCAGTTTCAGCATAAGTACTGGCAAAATTAGTCCTCTCTATTTCCAATCCTCCATACCCATAAAACCCAGTACAGTGTAGCATGGGTTAAAAAAAAATAAGTGTAGAAGAGTGTATAAACTCTGAAAGATATTATAGTATTAGGAAGTCCCAGAAATCCATGTTTGTCATCTGAGCACCCACAATCTTTCGGTGTGTCAGAGCTGGTGCTCTGCATTTTTGTGATACACACCACTACAAAGGGGTAATTGTTGTGGTCTTGATTTCACCGGCTGAAATCACCTTCAAAGTCCATCTTACAGCAGTGTGACTTACCACAGTTTCGACTTCTCTCAACTTGCCCTAAATAGGATCTCCAGACCTTTTCAAGCATGCAGTGAGTTTATGTTCATTCTGAACAAAGAGCTGTCAACTGTAAATGTACAGAACAGATGAGATGGACCTGAATTCACGAGAGTAGAATTCTTTGTTTTGAACTTATCTGTGAATGGCCATTTGTGAGAGGCATTGCTAAAGCTGGAAGTATCTGCCATGCAGTTTCTTGCAGTATTGTGAAAAGTTTGGATATTGTAGGTACATTTACATGACAATGATTGTACTAAATGTTTTTAGGTAACACTTTAGAATAATGGTCCGTTGTTAACTATGCAGGAAGTAATAGGTAGTACTACATTAACACTTAACTTAATACTATTAACTATGCCAGATCAACTAAGCAGTAGGCTAAGTAGTAGCAAATTTAAGACAAAGGTAGTTCCTTATTAGATATTTGATAATTATTAAATAAAAATATCCTCATTGAGAACTACTTGTGAACTATGACCAGTTAATAAAGAATAACCAATGAATTACTAATCACAGCAGTAACGTCTTAAAAGTGAACAATTGGGTTCTTTGTGGAAACTAATTTATGAATTTGATATCCCCCAAATAAGTCGGCTACATTTTAAAATTGTGACTACTATTCTTACCAAAGGATGGATGCTCAAACTTAAACATAGAATAATAATAAAAATGAAAATGTTCCTGCATAGTTACTTGTTAACAACAGACCATTATTCTAAAGTGTTACCAGTTTCTCCTTTGCATTCTTGAAAAGTTTCACGTACAGACTACAATATTGTCAAAATGGTCCCAGTTCACACGGATACGCAAAAGCGACTACAAACAGGCCAGTAGTTGGCGATGTCACTTTGTAAAATATCAATTTATTTCATACTTTACATGGTTCTAATTTTGTTTCCATGCTTGAGTTCATGATATTTGATTGTGGTGCCTGTAGTCAACGAAGTATTATTTAGTTCCAGGGAACTATAGCTGTATCAGTTGATTTTAATTTTTTGTGATTTGACTATTTCATTCAAATCAATTTCACTTGAACTGGTTTTGTATCCTGCTTGCACTGTTATAGCAATAGATGTTCTTTCAACTAACTTCCTGCATCCTGTGATGCTTAATAAAAGAGTTCTCATGCGAGTCATTTTTCATGTCAACACTTTTTTTTAATTAAAAGTTAGTTTTATTTTATATGATTTATTTACATATCTTTTATTATTATTATTACAATGCTAATAAATCAATCGAAGTCTGTGATTTTACATTTTTGGTTTTACACTTTTTATTTTATTGGTAACACTTTACAATAAGGTTCATTAGTTAACTACATTAGTTAACATGAACTAATAATGAACTGCACTTATACAGCGTTTAATAATCTTTGTTAATGTTAATTTCAACATTTACTAACACATTATTAAAATCTTGTTAACATTAGTTAATGCACTGTGAACTAACATGAACTAACAATGAACATCTGTATTTTTATTAACTAACGTTAGTGAAGATTAGTAAATACAGTAACAAATGTATTGCTCATGGTTAGTTCATGTTAGTTTATACATTAACTAATGTTTAACTAATGAACCTTATTGTAAAGTGTTACCATTTTATTTTATTTATACATTTTTTGTCAAGCAGTTTAACTTCTCATAAACATAATGCATAATATCAACAGAGAGTTGAATGCATCATTTCAATAAGACACACCCCATCATTCTAGTTTAAGCACACAATCAGCAGACCAATCCCATCAGAGTTCTCACTAATTAGGAAACCTTCCCTCTGATGTCACCACACTGGAGGAGCAAATAGCAACAGAGAGAGGGAGAGAGGAAGGGATAGACACACTCTTAACTTCATCCACAGCTGTTACAACTCCAGTTCAATCTGTGCTTCCCCACTGATCGGCGAAGGTAACCAACATTTCCCAATATGCCATATTAAGATGTTGTAAGTGTATAAACAGACTTTTGGGTCCAGCTGTGGGCTATAGGTGTAGCTAGATTGATTTTTGCAAGAGATGCTGTTGCGTAGAGAGGGTTGCCATGTTTTCAAACAGGTGATACCAAGAGTCAAGAAAAGACCCGAGATGCTGCATATGACAGATGCTAAATATTACATGTGTGTATTTAGTGCAAAGATACTGTTATTTAAATTTTTACATGTACATTTAGTCATTTAGCAAATGCTTTTATCCAAAGCGACTTACAAATGAGGACAATAAAAGCAGTCAAAACTAACAAAAGAGCAACAATATATAAGTGCAAATGACAAGTCTCGGTTAGCCTAACACGGTACACGTAGCAAGGTGTATCTATATATATATATGTTATAAATGTCTTTTGAGATTTCTTGCTTTGTGCACGAGAATGGGAATGAGATTTATGCATCTTTTATTTATCAGTTATAAAAAAATATATTAAATGTTATGTTAAATAAAAAAGGTTAGTGCGTAATGCCTAGTAGATCAAATCATTGGTAAATACAGGACATCATCAACAGTATATTATATAGCTGATGTTTATTTTTTGAACATTTTCACATTTAGTTACTTGCAGTTTCTTTGCAATTATTTGTGAAATTTACTAGCAATTTCTCCGTGACAATTGTAAATGCTTCACCTTTTTTTTTTTTTTTTTTTTCAGTGCATCTCATCTTTTATCCAAAGCAACTTACAAGAACAATTCAGGGCCAGTAATATTTGTAATATACAATGCCAGGTCTTTTAGACAACTAGATTGATAAGCAAGCTAGAGAAGACGAGAAATGCAAACAGATGGTCAAAATCATCTGAAAACATGATTGTATTACTATGGAATAGAAAGAGAAAGTTCCGTGACAATTGTAAATGCTTCCTTTTTTTTTTTTTTTTTTTTCAGTGCATCTCATCTTTTATCCAAAGCAACTTACAAGAACAATTCAGGGCCAGTAATATTTGTAATATACAATGCCAGGTCTTTTAGACAACTAGATTGATAAGCAAGCTAGAGAAGACGAGAAAAACAGATGGTCAAAATCATCTGAAAACATGAGTGTATTACTATGGAAAAGAAAGAGAAATAGTCATAATTTGGGTGAACCAATGTTCTCATACAAGACATGGTTTCCAGGGTAGTTTCCTGACGGTGTTGATCACCGCCTCATGGGGAAAGGGGTAACAAGCCGTGCTTTGCACGTACGCCCGTGGGATTCACAGAGAACAAACAAGTTATTAATTGTGTGTGGGCAAGCGGCCTCGTAGCAAGGGAACTTTTGTATCTATGAACCGGTGTGTCTGCCAGAGAAATTTAAATGAAGATTGAGATTTCTGTGATGTAACGTTGATAGCCACACTGAGATGCCGGCTGTTTCAAATTCAAATACATGCGGCGGTGGAAACCGAATCAATGTGGCTCTGTTTCAGCCACACAATTGACATCTATTAGAAGAAATCGTCTCTCCACTGCAGATCAAAGCAGAATATCATTCTGGTCACGAGAGGTTAGGCATGTTCTGCAATGCCAATTATGGCAGGTCAGGTTTGCAAAGCTCTCGGTGAAAATTTGTCTCCAATGTCATGGATGCAAACCACCATCAGAGAATAATTCACAGGCAAAGGGATTTAATTTCTGATACTGATACATGCCTTGCTTTATGTTGTTTGCTGGTCCCTTTAAACATGTTAAATCAGCAATCAAGCTCACCATTAACATTAATAAACATCAATATTCTTGCTGTTTTTTGTCATTATTTCATGCTTTCAGATGGCGTTGGGAGAAATACGTTGCACTATCGATGTAAGCAAGACTCGGAGGTCTTCGAAAACAGGTTTGTCATTGTACCTTTTCATTGAATGGTGTGTAAATCAATATTTGGTGGCATCTCAATAATTGTTTTTTTATATATATATATATATATATACACATTGATTTATACCAACAAAAACAATATTTACGGGTAGAAATATAGCTCTTTATGGTAACAATAAACAAACTGTTAACCTTTAACAGTGTGAAGCAGAGGGAACTTGTGTGTAAATTTCACGTAAAAACCCCATCTGCATGTAAAGAAATGAATTTGAATTTAAATTTAAATTTGAAATTCTTTCTGCTCGTGCTTCTTGTGTGCATGTTTTTCCATGCATTTCTCAACTGGCCAAGTTACATTTCACCACATGCAAATACAGTAAATGCCCTAGTTGTCACAGACTTTTGCTGTCCTTTATCTTTCTTTCCCACAGGCTTCCTGTTTTTTCTTTTATTGCAAATGAGTCTGCTCTCTAAAGTATGGACAACTTCCACAACGGCTATTCCAGAAAACACTCTGACAACAGATGCGACATCATATACAATGTCAGAATCTGTAAGCCTAACTCAATCTGCGGATCCAGTAAGCATGTCCTCCTCCATTTCTACTGACCAGATGGCCACATCAGGCTATTCAGTGACAGGAGCTTCATCCGCCTCTATAGAGAACACTGCTTCTAACAGTGCTACTGTCGTCTCAACAGGTGTTACTAGTACGGAGACAGGTATTCTTTCTTTCCGTATGCCTATCTATATCTTTCTTGTGTGGTTGTGGTGTTTAATATGTAGTTTCCATTTATATGTAATTATTTATTGGCAGAATAGAAGTAGAATAGACAGATATATTTAAAATTAAGGTCCGGACTTTGCTTTGTGTCTCAGTCATTACAAAACATAAACGTTGTTCTTCTTTGACCATTCTGTGGTAGAACGACTTGTGTGCTTGGGGTTGTTGTCTTGCTGCATGACCCACTTTCTCTTGAGAATCAGTTCTCAGACAGATGTCCTGACATTTTCCTTCAAAATGTGCTGGTATAATTCAGAATTCATTGTTCCATCAATGATGGCAAGCTGTCCTGGCCCCGATGCAGCAAAAAAGGCCCAAACCATGATACTACCACCCAGGGGCGTAAATTTTGTCTAACAGTAGGGGGGTACAATAAACATAAACCACATGACCACATTGTGGTCGCGCCGTGACAGCGGTCGTGTCTGTTGTAGACATTACTATCTGTCACAGTGTTGCCAAGTCCGCGGTTTTCTCCTTGAATTGTGCTACTTTATCACTGTTGCCGCGGGTTGTTTTTCATGTCCGCAGGTTGAAGCGACCCCAATAACGTGTATTTTAGCCCCCGGAACGTGATTTTTACCGGGGGACCCCCTCGAAACGCGGATAGTTTGGGCTAGTTTTGATTAGCAATTGGGCGGGTTTTGTTATGCTAACCTGGCAACGGTTTCCCTCAAGCAGGTAACGTAGTTTATGCGGTTTAAGGTTCAAAAAACACATTATTTTCCACATAATGTACATTATTGTTGCTCCTCTATGCCCCGCCTTTCTGAAACGCGTAGATTTTTACAAAGCTCATCGTTCTGAAAAGTGAGGTGTGTTCTGATTGGCCAGCTATCCAGTGCGTTGTGATTGGCCGAATACCTCAAGCGTGTGACGGAAATGTTACACTCCTACCATACTGTGATGCCGACCGTGTACCGGCGCAACGAGACAACACCAATAAAACCCATTACAAATGAGGCATTTGTTG